TTTTGATGAGTATGGTAAATATAATGAAATCTAAAATGTACACGTATCTTTTTTTTTTTTTTTATTTGGAAAAGTTCAATAATCATAGAATAGAAAATTTTTAGGATACGTTCGCGTGTTAATTGGGAAGAAGAATTAGCTAGCGATGAAAAATTTAGAATCACGAATATTGGAAAGTATTGATTTGATGTTGGTCTACATCGTTATTTTTATAAGATAATATAAATCTTGCAGTGGTCATATTATAAATAGTTGTTTGACCTGAAAATTTCTTTTATAATCTGACTAAATTGGGATGTCGACGATAAAGATGATTGAACCGATACGGTTTGGACCTTTATACGTAAAATCTATAAATATTTTTCTTTTTCTTCGACGTTGACAGTCTAATAAATACATTATTTCACGTTTTAAATAATAAAGTCAAGAGATTCGTAATTGAATCTCGATCGTAACGCGATTATCATCTTGGAAATTATTAATAATGCCTTAATGCATTGAAACGTAATTAACAAATTGTACAATTGTAGATTGTGAACGCACAGTCTGATATTCGTGCTCTTATAAAATTCCAATGAAAATTTTAAGATTAATTGACGGGAGAACATGACGGACCGTCTTATTCGATATTCAATGGAAACAATAAGGTATTGTCTTATACCGACTCACCGCAACTTTTTCCACCATTTTAAAAACAGTTCAGTTCAGACTTTCCCCCCTCCCCTCGTATTTCTGATGTCTGATTTACTACTCTTTCGTCTCTATCCAAATTGACGATCGATTTTCGAACGATATTTAATTAAGGAAATATCGGATGATGAGTTTCATTGTATCAGATTCGAAACAATTTTTTTCTTTTTTTCATTTAAACTGTAATACCGAGCAGATGTTTTAACCGTGAAATTTTTCTTGATGTTTTTTTAGATCCGAATTTCAAGGAACCAATTGCCAATGTAACTGCTCCAGTTGGAAGAGAAGCAATTTTGTCTTGCGTGGTTCAAGATTTAGCTGAATACAAAGTGAGTTTTTATTATATTTGCTATTTAATCGGAACGAGTATTAATAATAATTGAGATAAATCGCAAGAGAAGAGAAA